AGGCGTGATTGTGATAAAGTTATTGTGATTAATTCGACGGACTGAATTATATCGTCTAAGTTTTATTTCCAGCCCTCTGGCTAACAGTCCCAGAAGTTATTTGTGAAAAAGAAAGTACAAAAGCAATAGATATTTATAGTATTGGTATGCTTATGTGGGAAATTTCATCTGGACAACCATCTTTTATTAATTTTAATCATGATTATGATTGCGCAATATATATAGTTTCAGACACTCCATTAGAATATAGGAATTTAATGGTACAATGTTGGGATGCAGATCCATTGAAGAGACCTGATGCTGAAACACTTTGGATCGAATTTTTAGAAATTTAGAAATCATATTTACAAGATAAAAATGATGAGAGTCATAATATTATTAGTAATACATACGATACAAATTTTGATATAAACTCTAAATTGATTAATTCGTTAGCTGGAAAATTTAGCAAAATTCATATTTTTGAAAATTTACCTGAACCAAGAAATGCTACTAAAGGTAAATCATTAGTTGTAACTATTAAATGATAATTGAAATTATTTAAATTTATTTTATTGTAATTAATAGAAGAACAAGAAAGTAGGTATATATTTAAAAATTAAAATTCAATATTATTATTATTAATAATTACTTTTTATTATTTAAAATAAAGCATATAATAGTAAGCAAAATAGCCTTGATATTCAAATTGTAAGTATTTTAAGCTTTTACAAACAATTTTAAAATGGTATTAATTTATTTATTAAACCATTAAAGTTATATGTAAAGAAAAAAGCTAACAGGTTTCTGATGCAAAGCAAATTAGTAAGATTATTTTATTGTAATATTTATTTTAAATTGGTTAATGATTTTAAATATTTACACATTAATATTATAGATGTAAATGTTAAAATAAAAGGAAAATCTAAAAGAAATTATTCTGATGATAATGATGAATTTTATTATACTATTAAACTTAATAGTTTGCAAAATAATTATTTTATCTAATACATTTTATTTGATAAGAAAATGAAAATTCTAGCATGAATAAAAAAATAAAAGCTATCGGTGAATATTTAATTATCCTTGTTTAAAGAAATTTTATTTTATAATTATTTAAATTAAATATTTTCTTAGAAGTCCCTATGTACTTTAATAATAATAAATATATTGAAAGTGATAGTAAGAAATAACAATTACATTTAAATAATTATTTTTTATTATTTAAACTTTATATAATAATTATTAAATCATAGATGATGAAATATATAATAATCCAAACCTTCATACGGAAGATCAAGTTGATTTGGTAATTTCTTGCCTTGAGTAAGTAATATAAATAACTTACGATTACTATATTATATTATTTATTTAAATAATAATTTTTTAGTGAAACTTCGAGTAATAGATAAAATATCTATTTTAAGTAATATATAGTGTAGCAAATTATTTTATTAATAACTTATTATTTATTTCTTCAATTATTTATCCTAGCTTATAATTAATTTATATAAATTTTTTGATCAATCAACATATAGTTGAAACTTTAATTTAATTTTAATTAGATGTTAAAGATCATTTCTAACCCCAAATTATATTATTTTTGAGTGTCTGCAAGCACATGAACAATATCCCTCTTTATTTTTATTTGAATACAATAATTATTATAATGTGCATTCATATCAAGTGCGATTTATATCTTGACGCAGAAAGGTAGGTAATAAGAAAATCATTTCATTTTAATAAACAATTTTATTTTTTTCATTGTTACGAGAATTATATAAGTATAGCTATGCAAAAGAATAAAAACATAGTTCTTATACTTTCAGACTTCTGCATTTTTCAACGATATCCTTATGTGTTATATCGGATCTGATTTCGAATATATAAATAAAATTAAAAGTAAAAATTTAAAAATTTAAAAATATTATTGAGATAATGAATAATCTCTGAATAAATTATCTCAGTGAAATATGAAAGTTTATAAAATCATTAAATAACCGCTATGATAATTAGTTTTTGATTTTCAAAAATTAAATATGCGACAAATACTTCCAACAGGGTCGGTTTGGAGCACTAGAGGTGAGAACCTAAGCAAATCGAAAAAAATAATAAAATAAAAAACTTGAAAATTTAGGAAAAATAATACAATTGCTAAAGCCGAATAAATTGAACCATACATAAAAACAAAACTTCAAAAAAAAAATAATAAAGAAAATATTGGCAATGATATATTTTTTTATGTATTTATTGTTTTTGGTAATATTGTTCGCGCTCAAATTGTTATCAAAAGAATTGCTGCGACATAAATAATCGCTATCGAAATAAAATCATGGAATAAATATTTATAAATTGATCAGTATTTATTATAACGATAAGTATAAATATAGTCCATTTACCAGCCACGATTCAACAATATACGAAAGTATTATATCAAATTCATATTCTTTCAAAGCTATCCTAACATAATTATAAAAGAACATAAAGTGGTAGTTATATTTCAATTAAATCATTCTTTTGAATACCCCAATAATAAACGTACAGTTTCAAATGAAAAAAATATAAATCTCTTTTATTAATATGCAACGAAAATAAAGAAGATAGACTTTGATTTCCATGTTAATTTCTAATATAAATAAAGAACTTAAAATGTTATATATATTATTGACGCGTTATGTAAAAGATGATGCATATGCAACCTTTTAATTTTACTTTTATAATTCACATCTTTTAAAAATACCAAAACTTAAAATTACTAATTAAACTAAATTCAGCATTTGGGAAGAATAAAAATCCAAATATAGTCAAGGGAAATAAATTTTGTAGTTTCCAGAGATATTATCGCTCATAAAAGTTTATAGGCGAATATTTTAGAACGCGATGTAATAATTCGCATGCGCATGATGTATTTTAATAGATATTCCCATTAATGTGTATCAAAGAGTAATTTGATGATTGACGAAGCCGATTCGCATCCATTTAAATAGACTCTCCACGATGCTTTTTATTTTTGATGATTTTACTTCAGTGTGTAATGACTTCAGAATAGAACAATAATTGGCTTTGGCTAAAGTTAAATAATTGTTTCTGGTATTGTCGAATTCCAGTACTTTCTATCATTTTCAAGAATTTGATCACAGGTTCGCGATTTGAAAAATTCAAGTGCAAATTTGCAATCGTGGAAGGTACCTTTTGTAATTCAGCAAAATCTTCACGGATTGTTAAGAATAAAAGTACAGTAGTCCCACCTTATAGTCACTGACCTCGGCACCTATAATGAGTGATTATGAAGAGATGTGTTTATATAAAGGGTTTGTGGTAGTTAAATCATGGACCTCCTGCCATTATCATCATTTTATAGTTTAAATAGTTTAATAGTTTAAAATACCAGAATTTAAAATTAATTTTTATAGATTATTTTCTTAATTTTAATAATTTTAATAAAGGTCTTCGAGCATCTATATTCAAAAAATGAATCTTTCTTTATAAATGAATTAAAAGATAAGCTAACTAAGTTATAAAGTGCCTTTATTTCTGAAATGTGCTAAAAAGATATCAAATTGTCTGCTATTAAAGAGACATATAATTATCCTCATGTAGGTTTAAGAGAATCGTATATCATTTATTGCAAACTGTAAAGTAATCATTAAAATAATAATTAATATTATTTAATGATAATTTTATTTATTTTTATCTATCATTGAGGCTAATTTTTATTTTTATTTTTATTTTTAATGCGAAATTTTTTTACATATTAACTATTATTCTAATTTAATTTAATTTGGATTTTTTTTTTAAAAAACTTGTTATGAATTTATTTACAATCCGTTATCATTTTTTTTTATGAATTTATTTATTTTATTAATTAAATCATTGCCCTTTCAAAATATAATTTATTTTATTCCTTTATTTTTAACAATTAAAAAAAAAAAATATAAAAGAACTCCGTAAAATTAATAAAATAATACCCCGTCTCACTATGTCTGCCTTTATCATTAATTTTACACGTGATTAATTAATTATATTCTCTTCATACTACGTAATCTTATATTGATAACACTAATTTTATTAAAATTATTGTATTATATTTATGCTAATACTTGCTAGTTTATTTTATGAATTTAATTTTATAATTTAATTTCTAACAAGCATATTTATTCCATTATCTAAAGAAATGATTCCTATTAAAAAGTATTAATCACAATTTAAATGTAATGCTGATATTAGTATTACTACAAATTTTACTGAAAGCTTGGGAATTTTAGATTTTGTTTATTCCATCAGATTTCTCGATTATACTAGTTCCGTCATATTGTTGTTCACTTAAAAATATTCCTTCGAAAGTCCTATAAAAATGTATTAGTTTTGATAAGATGGAGATGGTAACTTTAAATATAAAAATTTAACATATCTAATTTATTGGTATAATTAGATGAATCCTTCTATGCTAGAAAGATAAAAATAAGCATAATATAAAATATTTTTAGTAATAAACTTTAAATCTATGTAGAAACTTACCTGCTTTTTCTGTAGGAACCAAAAGAAAAGCATTATCTCTTTTACGTTTAATAGATTGGTGTTGATAGGCTGATACACCTGCTACTGATTTATGTAGAGAAAATATCATTTGTTCAAGTATAATACCAGATTCTAAAGATTGTGTATACCTATTTATCGCATTCTATGATTGTGTTCCACACAGTTTGAAGTGTTTATCAATTATAAACAAGGAAAAAGATTTAATTGTAAAATCGGGATTTAAAAAGATACAATTCAAATAAAGCATTGCCTTAATCATCATCGCTCTATAAGATTAGATGCGTTATTTTTATTAAAGGTTCATTATCGTTACAATAAAAAGGGAGATAACTATTTAAACCATCTACTTTCTATTTTCTTAACAGTCAAGAACGTTATTTGAACCGTTTTTTTGCACCTTATGTTGAATCGGTCAAATTACATCCCGACTTTATTTTTGAGTCAATAAAAATCATCTTCAAAACTTTATTTTTCGATCTATTAGCCCTCGACGACAATCAGATTTATTAATTTTTCCAGCCCAATCAATCTGATCTAAAAATGAACAGGTTCGTATCATATAATCGCGTGTCTTGATTTTTAATCAGAATATACGTCTTCAGTGACTTGTCTGTATTTGATAAAGAATACCAAATAAAATTTGTATTATTTAAATAAAAAAAAATTGATTTGTAAAAGTAAATAAATATATACTTATTAAACATTCTAATCTCTGCTTTCAATATTGTTTGAAAGCTCGTTTTGCAGTAGAAAATCTTTTCACAGCCATGTAGTTACTGCTATTCGATAAAAAAAGTTCTACAACATTCTTTTTGCTTTTATAGCAGTATTTTTTTTAATTTAACTTTTTAAAAAACATTGACTATTATCTTCCTTTTTTCCTTTTCAAGCTTAAATTGTTTGTTATCTTAACATTATATAAATAAATCAGGATCGTATTAATTGCATTCCATATTCTTTTAATTCATTATTTTCTAGATCACAAATGAGCCAGTCACACACGGCCATATAATCCTTTTATTTATCTGCAATCTTTTTTCGCATGATTATGCAAGTTCCTTTCAAGTATTTTTTTTTTATTCGTAAATAAAATAAATAATGAATGTAAATCAAAATAATCAAAATCCCATATTATTTACTTCATTAAAATATAAATGGTAAGTGTAAGTTTAAAGAAAGTTTCCGAATGATAATGATGAAATGACTTTATTTCCCTCGAGAGAGAGAGAGAGTGAGTGAGTGAGTGATTACACATAAAAATGCATATGACTTGATAAAAGAATTATTGCTACGTATTCTAGATTTTTGGTAAATTTTTTGTTGAATCAATAAACTATAATAAATTATCACATTCGTATAATTTAATTTTATAATCACTACTCTATTTTAAGCAACCAATTCACTAAATCTTTGTATAATTACCACTTATATAGTCACTCCCCACTTATAAGCATATTTTTGTTATTAAAAAACTTGAAAAATTTTCTCGTCTATAATAGTATCACACCAAATTTTTTTTGCCCAGAAGAAATTATTGAATTTGTTAAAAAGCTTTTAAATTTTTGGAATTTTAAATCTTATAGGCGCGTTGTCCAATGTGTCAATTCTTACAATTCAAATAACTGGAGAAGGAATCAACACCAACATATCAAATAGGAATATTCAGTAAAAAAGTCCCATAAGGGAAAAAGAGATAGTACATCAGAACATTATGAACAACTCGTTTAGCGTAAGTAAACGCAATACTTTGAATAATTAACTTTTATAAATTTTGAAATTCAGACTTAGACGATGACCCGATTCTATTGAAGTACCTATTGAAGAATCAACATCGTCACGATACACAGCATAAAAATTACAGAGTAATTTCTTTTTTTTTTATTTGATCTATTTTTTTTTTTGAATGTTGAAATTATCAGTTTATTATTATTATTATATTATTAAATTATGCCAAACGATTTTATTTAAAAAAAGTACTTTAGCACTTTACCAAAGCCATATGTGATATTACAACACCTTAAACTTAATTGGTTCGTCGTTAAGTTAACACAACTTATTTGCTAACAGGAAGTTTAACTATGAAAGAAAATAAAATAAACAAGAATCAATTATATTGAAGGATCAGATCATGATATAGATTTAAATATTAAACTAGCAGATTTAAGTTTTAGAGATGAATGTTATTGTTTTATTAGACGACTCTGCCATTTATCAGGGCGAAATTTAAATAAATAATTAATATATCCTATTTAATATAATTTAAAATATAGATCTTCGGTCAAATGTGACTACTTTGTCATATTCGTCATATTCGTCAGATTCAAATCAAAACAAATTATTGGCTATTGTAGATCACGCCTATCACGCCTTTAACATGGAACTATTGTTCATAAGAATTCTCTCCTTAATAATGCCTCTTCTGATAACTCGAACTGTACAGAAAATGAAAATAGTTACAATAGAAAATTCGTCTTACTTTGTAAAATAGCGGTCACTAATAAGAAATTAAGGCTGTATAATCTAGTTCTACCGGAATTATTTCCAGTACTCTTCCACCTTCAAGCGTCGAGATCAAAGCAGAGTAATGGAAGATGTGATATTCTCCTCTTGCAACTATCAAAAACTGTGCCGTCGAAAAAAATTTCTCAACATATATATTTTAGCAAGAAATCGGGACGTTATTAAAACATTATAATAATAAAACGGATGGATTCTACGACTTATAACATGCTTTTAATAGCTATACGTATATATTTAATGGATGCTTTGCTGTGGAAATTTCTATTAAAACTATTTTGATAACGTTTCTGATTCTGGAATAAGTATTTCTTTATGTTAACAAAATTTAACTATTGGAAGCAGTCATTTAATATTATTTTTCTGATTATACATAATTTCTCTCCAAATTTTTTCATAGGCTGATATTAAGAATAGCTTACTTTACGAATAACAAATCAACGCTTTTATTTCCATGTTTTGAAGAAAAAGTGGTTTGACGATCTGTAGTTTTGTGCAGTACTTTATCAAAAAAATTATCCTTACATGATATTCTCAAGAGAGGTTAAGATTGATGAATATTTCATGTCACCAAGAAAATTACATGAACGATTGGGGTTCGCTGCAAACTAATTAATTCAAAATTAATTATATGGACTCAAATAAAAGTTTACTTAACTTATTAACTTTTTTTTCATGTAAATCATGTGGCGATAAATGTCGAACCCATAATATTTTCCTAAACGATTTAGTATATTATGCAACAACATATAATAATAATATTTATTTATTGTCTAATAGTATAACTAAAATTATCCTTCACATCATATGGAATAACAAGAATATATTTGATGAAACTTCCTCTCCAAATATTGGTGACGGTGGTGACAGCAAACTTAACCTTCGTTTAAATCTTATGGATAACGCATAGTTGTAATAAGGTGACTGCTGGGACCTTTTTATCAGATAATTGTTGAATTGCAGATGTTAATCTATTTCGTTGCCTATCCAATTCATTTTTATTATTGTCATTTTTCTTTGCTTCTGACTTTTGAGCTCGAGTTTCACGTGCTTTTTTCAACTGACAAGCTCACCTTTAAAATTGGAGGTATTTCTATATAAAAATCTGAAATCTTAAAAATTCGATAACTTTGTATTTAATTAGCATTTGAAGAATATAACATGTTAAATAAATACTCAATAACCTAAAAATAGTTGTAACAAAATACTTATTTGAAAAATACTAAAAAAAAATTTATTTTCCTATGTAAATATATCCGGGAATTTTCTTTATTATTTTAAAGCGTGAAACGGTCTTTTTTGGAAAAACAGAATGTTACACTAAAAAGATACCGTAAAATCGTGAAAATAAGCACCCTTTTTTTGCAGTCATGTGATCATCAAAATCAGTAGGGATGCTTATTTT